TAAGCTCCCTGACAGTAGGGACCTTGTCACCTCGTTCACCACTGAATTCTCTAATCCAGAGCATGGCACATGCAATGAGTTCATTAAGTAGTTGTTGAATGAATGAAGGCATTTAGAGACCCCTCAGGTAAACATGTTGAAGAGTAGAGAAGGAAAAGGAAAAGAAAGGAGGATTTATGGAGCACCTATTTTTTAAAAGATGGTTTATCTATTTATCTTGTCTCAGCAAATGCTCGCATCAGCTCGTGGTAGAGAGAACACTACTACTTCCATTTAATAGTGAAGAAAATGAGTCTCAGAAGTTTTGGTAACTCACACCTGTTTGACCTCCAAGCTCATGCTGTTTTCACTACCATAGTGCCTCCCAATTGGATCATTTCTAAGAATTTTCATGAAAAGTGTCTTCATTCTAAATGCTAACTAGTTACATGATATGTACATTTTTCATGATTAAAAAACTGACCTTGAAATCTAATCCCTGAAATAATATATTATATAACAAAACACACTAGCGAATAGAACTCATAGAGCCCCTACACACTGCTGAGAGGCAACTGGAATGGTAGACACAGCACTGGATTTGGACTTAGAGGATTAAGCTTGGGGCCAGGTCATTGATTACCAGACATGTGAGCCTTAATTCCTCATCTATAAAGCAGTGATGTTAACAGCTACCTGCCTAATGACAGAGCTGGTAAGAGATAATGTATGTAGAGCACCTAGCACTGAGCTTAATCTAAATGTCTATTAAATTTTAACCATTGTTATTATTAGTATTTATATTAGTATTGTCATTATTAATAGTAATTATAATACTTTCCTCAGAAGGGAAACACTTGTGAGTTTGTGTCTTGTATGTGGTCCTGCCTAGCAATGCAATTAGGGAGGTGGAATCACAGATCGAGTCCACCTGAGTCTTCCCAAATTTCCATTTCATATCCACAGACTGTCCAACTAATAGTTCTGGCAGCCACCTCCGCGAAGCGTGTGTTTGGTCAGCGAAGGCAGCTTGGTTTGAAGTAGTGGATGGGTTAGGTCAACCCATCACTGCTTTTGGAAAAATAACTTAATAGTAGTAGTAACAATAGTTTTGTGATGACTTTTAAATTTTCTGGGTGTTTCCCTGTGTTTTAGCTTCTGTTTTTCTCATGCCTGTGAGAGAAGTAATATATTTTGTAGAGGCAACTTAGCCTGCTTTCCCTCTCAGCTTTGGGACTTACTGCATGTTCCTTTGTGTGCCTCAGTATTTTCAACTGTGACATGGAGTAATAACAGTTCACAATTCATACAGTTTCTGTGAAGATTAATGAGCTAACATATGTAAAGTGCCTAGTACAGTAATTGAGACATAATAAGTGTTCAGTATTAGAAACTATACTTGAGCCTTGTTTTCTTTCCCATTTTATTTTTTATGTAGTCTTTTTTTTAATTTTATTTTTTATTTTTTTATTTGTTGAGACAGGATCTTACTCTGTTGCCCAGGCTGGAGTGCAGTGGTGTGATCATAGCTCAGTGCAATGTCAGACTCTAGGGCTCAAGTGATTCTCCTGCCTCAGCCTCCTGAGTAGCTAGACTCCCGAGTAGCTGGACTGACTCCTGAATAGCTGAACTTCTGAGTAGCTGGACTACAGTAGCTGGTGGCCCAAGCCACCACATCTGGCTAATTCTTTTATTTTTTGTAGAGATGGGATCTCACAATCCTCCCACCTCGGCCTCCCAAAGCACTGGGATTACAGGTTTTTATGTATTCTTGAAAGAACTATTATTTATTGGGTATCTTCTAAATGCAAGGCACTTTCATATTTCTTATTTCAATTAATTCTCACCTGAGACTGAAATGAAGAAGCTTGTGCAGGGCCACACAGCTAATAAGTGGTAGAGCTGAAACAAAAGTCCAGGCTTCTACTTTCCAACTGTCTGCTTTTCCTAGGATACTACCCTGTCCCTCATATATCAGTTGACAATACTAGGGTTGGTGGTATTGTCATTTGGGAAATATTATACTTTAAAAACTTTACAGAATACATACCTGCCTCTATCAAGCAACTTTTTTTTTTTAGGAGAGACAGGAGTCTTACTTTGTTGCCCAAGCTGGTCTCAAACTCCTGGGTGTAAGCAATCCCGCATCAGCTGCTCTCCAGAGTAACTGGGACTACATGTATGTGTCACTGGACCTGAGTTTTGCAACTTCTTTTTAAAGAAATGATATTATTGACATTTTGCCTGATGCTTGAAATTGTTTAAAATAGTACCCAAACACCTCTATAAGTTAGATTCAACAATATTACAGTCCACTTTAAGGAGGAACATAATTGAGTGACACCTCACCCTGAATCACTGACCACTGCGGTTTGTTTGCATCAGTAACTTTCCCCAAGTCAATTAGATATCCAGAGTTTTGAAGCCAGTACTTACCTGCAATTCACGTTTTCATTATGTTTCACAGCTGAAATGTTACTGTAGGCCAGTAGTTCTCAAGCTTCGTGTGCGTCAGGATTACCCTGAGGGCTGGTTAAGGCACAGATTGCCCGCCTCCATCACCAGTTTCTATGTTTGTAGATCGATACGGGGCCCAAGATTTTGCATCTTTTTTCTTTTTATTTTT